AGGATGCGGTGCTAGGTGGAGGGAAGGGAAAAAAATTCCGGCAGCTTCATTCAGCTAGCTAGCAGTGTAGAGCATGTATGCATCACGGCTTTGACCTCTTCGGTATAATATAATGATCTAGATATCCTCTTACACAGTAGCTATTAATTAAGATATTATAATTAGTTTACTTTCTAAGCTAATTTCCTATACTAATTTAAATAGTTACTGCCCTTAACTAAGCGCTAGCGTCTTACCTTCTTTTGCCGCCTTTATTATACTTACTCTAATAATTATAGGGTAATACTATAGACTCCCTATATATAACTTTAGAAGTGATTAATATACTTAAACTTAAGGTCTCTACACTTAGGATGTTCACATTATATATTCTCACCGCTCTGCTCGGCTTACTTACGTCTAGCTAGGTGCTAGTCATCGAAATAGTCGTTTATAATAGTTAGATAGCAATATATAAAGGTACACTCTTCATAAGAGAGTCGCTTATCGCTAATATAATTAGGGCACTATGTAGCACCTAGGAGTAGGGGGAATAGATTAGGGCTAGGTGGTAGTTCATGTTCTATCTCAAGAGGCTCAACCTTTATGAGTGGGCAGGCTTTAGCTATTTATTAGATATAGTTACGCTTAACCGTCTCTCTCTTATCGTAGAGAGCTACTATAAGACTAATGGCTTCGATCTTAAGCTAGAAGACTTAGTCTTTAGTTAAGTTGTTAGGCTGGTAGTAGAATATCTCTGCTAATCTTACACGTTTAGGGATAGAGATATTAATAATAGGCTCTGCGTACTCTTCCTCCTCTTCCCCCCTCGCCTATCTTTTAATATCCCAGGTAGGACGGTTATAAAAATAATACTCACGATATCGCTTCACCACCTGCTTATCACGTTGTGCACGCTGCTTGCGGAACTTTTCGGTGAGCTGTTTGCTGCTTGGCTGGCAATCTCCGGGACGCGTGGCCTCCTTGAGGGGGTAGACGGGGTTGCCCTACCCTCCCAACGAGTCGATCGCTTCGATGATGGGGTAGCTGTCGGGGTCGGCGTTGTCACGGCCAAAGGTGGCCTTGGGAGGTAGGCCAAGTCAAGGACCCGAAGGGCTAGAAGATTGGCATCAGCCGTGCGGCCAGCAAATCTTCGTGGCGACACTGAGAGAAGCTCCCGTGGGCGGTGTCTTCACTTTTTGCCAACGTCTCGTGTTTTCCGACAAGCAGGCGACTGAGAACTGAAGCGGAGCTGTTTTCGAGGCGTCGTACGCTGACGTTTCGAGCGTGAAGTGATGGGGTTCTCACTGCGAGAGCGCACGGGGCCGATGATGTCACCATGGGACTGTTCTGGCAAGTGACGGCGGTACTCGTTAGTAAAAAAAAAAAAGAATGAGTGGGAGGTTTCACCGAGTGGTCGGCCAGACACGCGATCACGTGAGTTTCCGACAGTGGGCTGATAATAGCTCTTAATATCTTAATAAATAACTAATCAAATAGACTGCGTATGCCAAGTTGCGAACGAGAACCACCGCATACATAGAGTTGCGCACGAAACAGACCGTAGTCGCAAAGTCGTGTACGAGATTTCCTCCGAGCCTGTGGGCATGCTTTGCGCCGCCAGCTGGAATAAAGCCGTTAGGGCGCTCAGTTCTTCGCTTATCATTATCGCATCCTTATCAATTGATCGTAGTATATCACGCACGCGTTTCCTGTTTCGGAAGTGGAGGTAACCTGCGAGAAGCTTGGCCCCCGCTTCTAAACCTTCACCTTGGACCTGAGTGTCTTTCTCCGTCGCATCTACGTAGTTCTCAGGCCAAGTAAGAAAGGAAGACACGGGGCATTTGTCGAGACCTGGTGTCCAAAATTACGGCACCCAGCAACTATTCGCAAACGCATTCAAACTTGATGCAAAAATCCAACACCAAGTTATGAATATTCGCGACTCCTCTGGTCGCCTAGTTTCACTCCTCATTGATGATGGTGTAAGTTGCATTACCGTGAGGAAAGTGCTACTTACGGGGACATGGCGTTCAGTTACCAAAAGCTAACAGGCGGCAGGCAGGAGCCAGGTTTCATGCTCTAAATATATCGGATGAGGTGGATAAATCACTCATCGCCATGGAAGGGCTGGCCCGGTGTGCTTCCCGCACCGGACAAATTCACTTGGGTCGGGAGGCAAGGAAAACATTTGATGACATTATGTACGATCTATGCCACTTGGAGGCACAGTTACAACAGATCACAAAGCAACAGAGGAGCGCCGTGGAGGACAGTTTCACCAAGTAGACCCTGCATGAGCCCGCAATGGCTACAAATCAGTTATGAGAAATACGAGCGCCTTGCAGGTGATAATAAGCTTGAGGGGAGACTTTTGCACGCGCTCCCTCGAGAGTGTCTCGCCCTCTATCTTCTAGTCGCCCCTACTTTCTACCATTAACGCCACGATCTTCGGCGTATCTCTAATAGATGGCCTACGGGTCATCATATCTAACTTCCACCGTCAATACCGCTTCCTCCCGACCAGCCACTGTCCGGTCGATCACTATGTGGTCTGTATATGCCTGGCCTTTGGATGTCTGGCACACCGCGGGATGGCTCACCAGTGCATGAACCGGTGCCGTCAACCGTCTGGACTGCCATAGTCTCTAAGACTGCTGCTGTCGCCGATTTCGGCGGCTGAAAGTGTTCTTGATATCGCAGAGGGCACGTCTTCGGTTTTATTGTATGACTCAATGTCTGACATCTGCTGCATGTAGACTAGTTTTTTTGTTTCGGCTGTATTGCTGGTTCAACTGCTTAAACCCACTAGGCTCCCGCATTATGCTTCTTATCGGCTGATGAAGTCTCTGGTTATGCTGGCCAGGGAGCGCTCTGGGCCCTGGCATTGGCTCTAGTTGAGCCTTAGGTGCCAGTGGGTATGGAAATCAAGCTTGGTGGCTAATATCATGGAGCCATTTGTGGCTCTTTGGTGCATCCTCTACCCCGACCACACCCCCGTGGGCGGGGTTTCAGCCGGTGGTGGGCCAGACACGTGATCACGTGAGTTCGTGACAGTGGGCAGATTTTGAGTCGGCCTACGGCAAAAGACCTTGAGGAACGAAGCCTGGATTTAGCCGGTTTCAAAGGGTTGTATATTAAGATTTGGCATGGGTGGTTGGAAGTTTCGGTGGCGGGGTTAGGATTAGCACATCACGCGGGCATACTAAAACGTTGAAACGTGAGATGGACGGCTACGTGGAGAATGAAACAACGGTCGCCGATATACTAGGGGAGTGGTTTCTACATTTGAAACAGAGCAGTAGGTGAGTACCATGTCGATTGCATTACCTCCTTCAGCTGTGAAAGCCCCACTCTGCCATCCTCCGCTCTCGCCCCGAGGGATGCTTGATCTTGTGGTTCCTGAACCCATGCCTGTGTCCATCACATGATATTACAGATGGCTCGCAACTACAGTACTAATCTCTCGCTGAGTGAAAGGGTTCTGGCAGAGTGAAGAGTGCGAAAACAATAGGACAACCTATCTTATCTTGTTATATAAGTCTAGACAGCCAGAGCCCAGTTTCGTACCCATGGAATACGGACTAGTTACAGGACCTGTGCAAAAAAATTGGGCGTCATTTGGGAACCCCTCTGTGGGACCACTTTTGGACATTTCCGGGCACGAAATGCGATTGCCTGTGGGCCTATTAAACGAAGTTCGCAAGTGACGTTGTGGTGAGCAAGGACTAAGTCATGCACAACCTATTGACTACGAGCAATTGCGATCCTCTTCGAATCGTTAGTGCGTTTGACGCCATTTGGCATTGGAGGGCGGCGGTCGATCGCCGTTCGAAACTGGCTAACTCTCTGAAGCTGGCCGCGGCTTAGAAGAATTTAGTCGTCGTCTTTTGTCAATTTATTCGCTGAGATTTTCGACAATTGCCGTTTGTATTTCGGAAGGGAATCCCTGAGGCCTAGTAGCACAGCTTGTGTGGTGCTATCGCAAGGTATCTTGCGGACATTTGTGGATCCACTCAGCAGGAGCTGGACGACCTGCTTGGTGGGTCCGCTTGTAAGTTTTAATTGGGTTTGATTGACCGCTATTCTCTTAGCGAATGGCGGTTATGCTTCGGTAGGGCAAGCGATATGCAATGTGCTTGTACAGTATCATGCTGTCACAAAGTCTAACTTTCCTCAAATGGGGCCCTCACAGATTCTCACGTACCCTAGATGTCCAAGATCAAGCGCCCTGAGCAAGACAACCCCCTTATGTAGACTGCCCCTCGCGCATCGAAGACAGCGTCTGACGTCATAAAGCCAAGAAAACAGCCATCGCGCAGTTCGATGAAAACTCTGCGACGCTGCTGTCGAGTCGCCAGTAAGTCTGGCAGAACAACGACCTTGCGAGCAATGGCCGTACGAACAATGACCATATGGATGATGATCATATGAGTAGTGGTCTTGCAAACAGTGCGACCAAGCACCCAACACATCACACCTATGAAGACATGGGCTAGCTACTCTCCAGGCCTCGGTGTATAATTTAGGCGCCATTTAACCGAGTTTTGCCTACGATTGCGTGATATCATTAAAGGCTGTTTTGTAATGAATATCATCGGAATGTGAGGAAGTTGTGGGTCGTCATTGTGTTTGGGGGCCAGCAGTGCATGATCTAGTTATTTGCGTTTTTATTGCCTCCGCCACCTAACACTTGATTTACGTCTCTGACGGCAATGCTTCTTTCTACAGCAAGATGGATAGTAGCCAAGCGAGGTCAAGTTTCTGCCTCCCATTCCACCAGTGATTCCAAATTAGTGGTTTCATGCTCGCTTGAGGGAATATGAATTTGTACTCTAGTGGGTCAGAGCACAGGGACCCTGTGAACGAGGCTGATCTGCTTTGGAGCTTATTAGCTCCCCGCAATGATCTACCCCGCCATTTCCAAAGCCCCCATAGCCACCATGATACTTGATTACGACTAGACTTGCTTCCCGTGCGGGACATACTTATCCGTGAATTCTCACGAGCAACGAGACATTATGGCGCATCCTCCAATATACAAAGCGAATGTCATGTGGTGGAACAAGTCGTCAATTTATATCCGCTGTCCCCATTGCGACAAGATTCATCGTCATGGCTTCGATGGGGAGTATCGAGCTGAGTATCGTCGCGCACCGCATTGCGAGAACGACGGATGTTACAGCATATGCTTCCCCTCCAACGGCCTCTATGAGATCGACCAGAGCAGGTGCCTGTACGTACGTGCAGGTGACGATCCAGCCGATTATTTCGAACAGCTCAAACCCGAGCTAAGGGTGGACGTAAGCCACCAACGCAAATGGACAGAGGCAAAAGAGGAGGTCGAGATGGACGAATATCATCGAAACAAACTTGAATTGATCAGCCGTGCTCTTGGCCTTGGTCCACTCCAAGAAGTTGAGCGTGGCAATAGACTTCAAATTGCTGTCTCGGACATGAGCAACGGCAGATTAGAGGCTGTGCGCTCTTACCTTGAGACCTCCCACGAGAAGAACATTTTTCTTCACGGAGTGCAGGCCTCGGTTTTTGCACAATCCGAGGTGTACGAGGGGAGTGCGTGTCAAGATATCGAAGATGGTCAAGATGGAAATTGCGACCCTTCTGAAGCAGAGATTGAAGAAACCATAACATCTGGAGTCACTGCACTGCATCTAGCTGCGTGTGAGAGGCATCCGGAGATGGTCAAACTACTCCTCGACTACGGGGCCGATCCAAATGCAAGAATGGTTGATGGACGGACTCCATTGATGGAAGCTGCGATTTGGGGACGTCTGGGTAACACTAAACACCTTCTTTCTTATGGAGCCGACAAGTCAATTCAATGCGTGCGAGAAGGGAAGCAGCTACGAGCTATTGATCTTGCCAGAGACACTCTCGAAAATAGCGAGGAGAGATACAACCGATCCGGTCGAAATCACCAGATATACAAGGAAGTTACACACGAAAGAAATTTGGAACGTGCAGCAATCTTTCGAGAGCTGAATCGCGAGGCTATGCATGAAGAATATGAGCACCAAACACCTTTCTTGGGGCCTCACAGCTTTTGTTTCACATCGATATTTGATGGAGGCAACGTCATTTCCATTCTTGCAAACTTTGATGTCCCGAACAAACGCAAAACCGTGGGGATCTTGTTTCGGAGCACTATTGTCAGCAAATCTGCTTTCCCACCCGTGGCTGCCATGAGTGGTTGGGGTCACGCGGAGAATTCAAATCTCGATCTTCGAATCGCGGGAAAAACATGGACAAATGAGGTCTTCCAATTATGTCGGCTTATTGGGCACAACTTGCCTACAGGTGGACATGACCTGGGCATACCTGAGCAATTTTATGCATGTCACGCAGAAAAACAACTGACTGCTTACTTTGTCAACAAACATTTATTTCTGTCTCAGGAGGGCAGTTCTGACGATTTCGGGATGTCAACTTTGAGCCTTGAGGCATCAGATGGGAGACATATCGACAGGCTTATGGAGCTTCGCGAGGCAGAACCTCCTCAGAGACTTCAGAAAGCAATCATTCTAACTTCTCGTGCTGTGTGCTACGACTGTCAGGCTTTTATAATCAGAGTCAATAGGGTATTCACGTTGGATATAGACCTCCAAGGGCCAGCAGTGTAGGTTTAGCTTCATTTTTGGTTTATGGTGCTGGCTCCAGTAATGTGGCTCCTATTCATGAATGGTAGTTCCATGGAAGAGACCTAGAGGTGACGATTTTATGAGCCTGGTCCCTGCCAGAGGGATTGGAGACAGCGCCCTGCGGACAAGGACGGTGTTGCATATCCTCTTGCGCTGCCGGAACCACCGGCAACTCCGGGACCAGGGACTCCGCTGTCAAGGGTAAGGATCACGACTATCTGAATAAGTTCACGGTCGCAATAAACTGTAAATTGCAGGCAGCATCCTGCTGTCTAGACGATCGGCACAATGGAATATTAGTATTAGAGACTGACTTTTGTCGTGTTGTGTAATTGGTGGCCTCGGTTTATGTTGACTCTCATTGCCGCGAGTGGGAAATACCACAGCGCATTGTACATCATGCCGGCAGCAGCGCCCAGGAAGACAACAATACACATCATTTTATCGGTAATGGCCTTTTTGGATAGCTGGATGGCTGCCAGGATGATAATGCTAACGGTCGCGGCGTTAAGGCCGGAGAGCAAGGCGTAAACAGCGCGAGGGAGGGAGTTACCAATATTAGAAACGCTAATAGAGAGGCTATATATACCCAGGGCGCCAGGGAGGCTATTTAATAAGTTAGTTCTACACTAAGATATAGAGGATAAGAGACACTACCTCTAGATAATAAATCTAATAATAGCGGGGATAAAGCTATCATACAGGAGATTAATATAGTAATACATCTTAGTGCTACTAAGGCCGGAAAAGGCCTAATAGATACTAAAGAGCTCTTAATACTATAGCACTATTATTATTAGTAGAGAGTTTTATAGTAGTTTTCCTAAGTATATACCACCTACTTATTAATCTATAAGAGCTTAGTGATAAACTTATTATAAAACTACTAGCTAATATATTAGCTATCACTATTATTATCTAGATAATATCTTATTAGCTACTTATATAAAACCTAATTAATCCTTATAACCTAGCATCTACGGAAGTAGTGAAGATAGATTAGCTATAGGGATTAGGGTTTTAGAGATTCTAGGTAGTTAAGTAAGCGATAAACTTATAATCTTAAAGTAGGCTAGTAGGCCTTTAAGGGATATGAATCCTAGATACTAATTCTCCTAAATAATATTCTAGAGGCCTTTTATAAGACTACTAGGACGGAATTATAACTATAGTATCTTAATAGTTATTATTGCGTAATATTAAGGAGCCTCCAGTATAATCACTAAGTTATTACCCTAAGCCTACTATAATAAATATCCTTAAATTAATTAACCCTACTCTTATTATTCTATAAATAATAAATACACTACTTAAAGCACCCTATAGGTATAAAAGAGGTAAAAATATAAGTATTTACTCTTATAAAAGAGGCGAAGAGGATATATATACCTAGCTCTAGCTAATTAACCTAGTTTTATTAAATAGCCCCCTAGAAAAAGCTCTTACTATCTATAACGCTAGTGAATAAAGGAGAAGTTTCCTCTATATACTAAAGTGCTAGATCCTTATTATTATAGGCTTTTCTATAGTGAGCTAGATATAGTTAAGTGCTATTATACAAATAGCTAGTGTATACACTAAAGGTAAAGCCTAATATAGAAAATATAAAGTAGTACTACTAAAAAAAAATTAAGCCTCATCTATAATGCTCACAAGAAGACTAGGATAGTTATTATTATTTATATAGTACTAAATATACTAAGTCTAAGTAAAGGAGAGATACTCAACTTTAAGACTGAAAATTTTATTTAGTTATTATCACAGGTTGTGGCGAGTGAGCATGGCGCACACTGTGGCGCAGACGATTGAACGAAGGAGGGCGCGGAAGAAAGATCCTTTCGTTCCTCAAGGCATGTGGCTTGAAGTGGCGCGGTTTTGTGGCGCAGGTGGCGGTGTCCCAGGTGTTGCTTTCGAAGGGGCGGAAGGAAGAGCCTTTCGTTCCTCAAGGCACTTCGTTCCTTCAGGCATAATCACGTGGACTGCGTACGCCGAGTTGCGTACGAGACCCACCAGCGAAACAGACAGCAGAGCGAGAATTGCCGCGTGCGCAGAACCGCGTACGAGAATTACCGCGTACGAGAATTACCGCGTACGCAGAGTCGCGTACTAGCATTACAGCAAGCCCTTGCCAGCGTCATCATCCGCCTAGTTGAGTCCTTTCGCCATCAAGCTGAAGGGGGCACAAAAGTTCCCGTGATCCAAGCTGAAATAACCACATCTACTTGATTTCAGATGAAATAGCTGATCTATGGATAAATATTATGTCACCTTTCTATAAAAAATAAAAAATAAAATATATATATATATATATATATATTATAATATTTATTAGTATAAGATATAGTGAAACTATAATATTACTTAATACTTTTACTTCTAGGATCTTTTTCTAGCTGAATATAGAGTCTCTGGCTTTAATAAAAAACATTGGTATAGTGTATATTATATATATTTCCTGGAATAACTTAAAGTAAACAATCTACATCAGAAGTAATTATCCTATAATCCTAGAATGCTAGATATCTGTACTTTTGTCTTTCGTTCGGTTAAATTTAGTGGGCATACTAAGACATAAGCTTTTTTTGCTATCGCTATACGGTCTCGCAAGGTATAAAACGGGGTACACCGTCAAATTTATCAGCTAGCTATAAAAAATGTACCTTCTTATATTTATTATAGTAGCATCTATAATAAGCTTAATAGCCTCTCCCCGACTCAGGATTATGAAGAGGTATATTAGACTTCGGTGTTTCAGATATAGGATGTATTCTAGTATGCTCTCCCCACCATCCTTTGACTCCCATAGGTGCTAAGGGCGAAGCTTAAAGGCTAAGAGATTAACACTCCACGGTAGTCTTGCTAGATGTCCTCAAAAGGATAAGGCAAATCGAGTCCTGGACCTAGGTACCGGGATGGGAATATAGGCCGTTGAGTTTAGTATTTCATTCATTTGCAGAGCTACACACAGTCGCTTACTATAATCTTAGCGGACGAGCACCCAGATGTAGAGGTCATCGGTATAGACCGCCTGCCTAACCAATCAAGTTAGTACGTATCGATACTATGATATTTACTGTCCACTAACTCTATATAGGTTTCCCCTAAAATTGTCTTTCGAGATTAATGATGTGGAGGATACTTGGACCTGGGCGAAGCCCTTTGATTATATCTTCTGTCGAGCTATGATCGGAAGTATTGAAGACTGGCCGCGGCTTGTTAAACACCACTGCTATGGCCCGCAATGCATCGCTTCGAGCCCGCACTAACTCTTTGCCGCCAAAGGCGGTCATTGGGTTGTCCTCCCCTCGCCGCAACTCCTTTAGCGACAGTCTTAAAACCAAGAACAGCGATCCTCAGGATTAGTTTGACGACTCAAACTGGAACCCAGCCGCTACTTTCGATAGCAACATTACAGATAGTATGCACTGCCGTTTAATCCGTACAATCGTTCTGAAGACAAAGAAGGGACAAGTTTGATACATATAACCTGAGGTTATTAATGCCTCTATTTAGCAGCATCCTTCACTAATATGTTCGGCACGCTATCAAGTACCGTACAAATGGGAGCATCTCTTTGCCTTCACATTTCATTGCTCTCATAAATAAAAGAGCCTTAGAAACTATTTCCAGCTCAATAGGGTCCAATGTTCCTATCACGCTAGCTTAGGGTGATGGTTGCAGGCTCAGTCTGTCGGCAGATAATCCAGTTGAGACCGTCTCCAGGTCTGCCGTTACGCTGGCAGTGAAGAACTACCGACCCGCTTCCGGTACGCTCGGGGCTATTCATATATTAGGGCTATTTCTCACAGAATACAACGAGGGGAAAGAAAAGTTTTATATTTTACCTTTCCTCTTTGTTCCAAAGAGTTAATGAGGCAACGTGGTTGTCGGCGGTGACACCATCAATGGCAAAATCCCAGTCCCGAAGTTCGAATTCTTCACCGGGAAGTGAGACAAAGCACCCATTAGTTCGACCAGTTGGGTAACCATCATCAGGCCTTGTGTTGCAAATTAAATCCCCTTCTTCTCCGATGCGAAACTCCGAAAACAGAGCTTTGAACTCTCCGTTCTCAATTTCTCCTTTCGCATTGATCCAAAAGTTTCTAATAGCGATCTCCTGTGCTTGTGTACCAGTGAAGCCAGCCAAGAGGGCAAGAGAAGCAGTGATAAACCTCATGATGACTAGGGTTAAAATTTGATTGATCGCTAAATTGATGTTGCAGAGTTCTATACAGAGTCGAGTTATCCAAAAAAAAAGTTCAATTCTTTGTCTTCTTTATATGTTTTTCCTCTAAACCTTAGTAAATTATTATTAAGGTAACCAGAAGCCGGCCTTCGTTTGCGGCAACCATGTTAAAGCAACTTCCTAACTAGTAAGGTCACACTAAAGTCTAGGATTGTCGATGCTTTGCGAGACGTATTCGCTACTCGAAGTCAGTCACATCATCCAGGTCACCGGCACATCAGGCAGTGCAGCCGCTCAGATCGGCGGGACAACACTTCACTCGGCATGCGGACTGGATATCCGTCGTTCTCACAACAAACAGCAGCCTCCCATGTTCTCAGAAGCGAAAAAGTGGATGTGGAGGCAGAAGTTGGCTCTCATAGTTGACGAAGTGAGCATGCTTGGGGGAACCACTTTATTTAATACCAACTGCCGTCTCCAGGCACTCCGTGATTGTCCTGATAAACCATTCGGAGGTATTCCTGTTGTTCTCTTGATGGGGGATTTCTATCAGTTTGCCCCTGTGCTTGAGACAAGTCTCCTGGTGGACCGGATGGTAGATTTGGCTTAAAAGTCCTCCCTAGGACAGGCGACCATTGCTCACCACCGTGGCCATAGTATATGGCTGATGTTCAAAACTGTTATTCTTCTCGAAGAACAAGTCCGCGGGCGAGATGATCCTTTACTAGGTGCTCTTTTGGACAGAGTACGTGCTGGAACTCAGACAGTAGAGGACCTTGACCTGCTAAACACCAAGCTCGTTGACCGCTCCTGGATCACCTTCAAGGATGGCTTGCGTGCTATAACGCCGCTCAATCGCAACCGATGGAGCCTTAACATGGAGGCCGTGGTAGACTGGGCCTGCTTCCACGGGAGATACATCTCAGTCTTCGTCTCGACCCACACCTGGCGCAGTCGAGCCGTATCTCAGCAGGAGGTGGCCCAGATCATTAGACAAGGCGATAATTCTAGCTGCAAGATCCCCGGGGTCAGGGACTCCTGGACGACAAGATCCCTTGGTGTGCTGCTATGCAAGCTGACCGGTACCCCATGACCTCCATGGCCAGGTGCAAGTTGCATGACAGCCTCCATCGTCCAATGAGAACATAATTTCTAGTATATAACCCGTTGCTGACATTCTCTCAAGGCAATCCTAGATCGTATGGGGACGCTGTCCTCCTTTAATCCTCTTCTGCTGGGGGTCGCACACACCAACTCTCCGCTGAGGCATGCAATCTTGCCATCCGTGCAGCTCCGTATCGGCCGGTTTTGGGCCCAGAATAAGGAGACAAAATCTGGGAATGCGCCTATCTCCCTCCCTCCGTGGCTTTGATTGCAGAAAAAATCAAAGCAACTCCGTTGGAATGGCGCCGAACCAATCCTTGCCATCTGCCATGCGCTCTATTCTTTCTGGAGGATGGCTCCTGTGTCGACCCTCAATGCCCCAATCGGGCAGATGATTCGTGTGTATACACAAAGGATGGCATGATCCCAGCACCAGGGTAGTAGGCCGATCCATCAGGCATCTGTATTCTTGAACTGGCTGTTCTTCTGATCCTTGTCTCATTAAGAACAGGCCTGTTTGCAATGTGACCGAAGTCAACGTCCCATTTGTGCTTATCTCCGAATGTGTTGTACGAAATTGGATCTAGGAGCCAGGTGGAGGATGGAGCCCAAATATATGAAGATGCACTCCGTGGCGCCTATTGCAGAGGGACTTGGGGGACGAGTGATAGTTGGTCAAGAGGTGACTTATGGTGTTCTGGGGCGTGTGTCCACGGATATATATAATTTCAGCCTGCAACGACAGCAATGCAATTATGATTACGCCCCCCTTTTTGAAAGTTTCGTGACCTAGAAACGCACGGTGAAGTATTAGACGAGTGCCCTGGGTGCCGGGAGAAGACATACTTTGGCAGTGGCTGCAATCTTTTCAGCCTCGAACTCGTTTGAATATTTGAGTCCTTTGGTAGGACATCTTTCACCCGCTGTTCCCTTTGAATTCCCATCAACTATACCTTGAGATGTAGATTGCCTTAGCAATATGTAGATGGTGCGTGATGTTATCATACACGAAGGCACAATGTGCAGTGACTGGCACTGGTAACTAGCCACCATCTGAAGTAGTCTTACTTGCGAAGCATGCAGGATGGTTAATGGAATTATTATAGAACGCTCATCTGCTATAATAACACAAAGTGAGGTGTCCCAGAAAAAAGAAATATATCAAAGCCAAAAGAGAAGGAGCCCAGTGAGCCGAGCTGAGAGCCAGTGATTTCCAAGGGAGTAATATGTTTGTAGTCTGGTCCATCGAACCCCGGGATGATAGATATCAGTCTTCGTTTATATCCGAGTCGCAGTCATAACCACCGTCCTCGTCCTCAGGGGTGTTCTGGTCGTTCTCTGTATTGCTGTCATAGTTACTGCGGTCCACCCTTCTACGCTTGCTTCGGTGGCGGGTTCCGTCGTTGGGGAGATTCTGTAACTCGGGCATGCCATAGACAGAGTCGGGAAGCTCGGCGTCTGCTGGCGCCGTGATAATACCAAACTCGTAGCACATCCCGTATTCCCCGCTGGTCCCGTAGAAGCCAACGATCTTGAAGCTCCTTTTATGGAAGAAGAAAAAATCACATGAGGACTTAAGAGTCCATAAGTCGCTTTCAACTCTCGCGCCAATCAATGTCACCTACCCTATACCACGTTCTGATCTTTTATCTTGATGACTTCGCCATAGTACAGAGAGGGCGAAAATAGATTACGGTCATATACGCACCGCCCCATGGAGCGCCAGCACATAGCCAGAGTTACTAGTATGAAATATAATGTCAAAAAGATGCATCCTTCGGACTGTTTTACATCCTCCCTACCATCGGTGAGTGTTTCAGCATATTATACTCATCACCAAACTATTGAAAAATGCTCAACTACCAACCATGCCTAAAAGTGAGCTCCATCACTCTTAACTCTTTCTTCCCAATTACCATCCATCTATCACCATCCTTCATCTGTTGGCCTCTTCCCATTGCATACCGCTTGTAGTAGTCCGTCCCACTACAATCTTCCAGCGAGCACACTCCACCAGCCCAATCGGCAGGGGGTAATCTTTCAGCATACATAAACACGGTCATCTCAATCAGTTCAGGAAACATGTGTTGAACGAGCATTCTGATTGTGTCGCCAGCTCCTTGATGATATGTCCAGCTGGCGCTGACAGCCAATCTCCGCAGACCTTTCCCCTTCGGATCACGAAGACCCAAGTCCGTTAGCAGGTGCGACATTCTGCGATAGTCCAGATCGCCAAGTACAACGACGGTGTCGACCTCAGGATTGATATACAACACACGATTCAAGTCGTTAATACTATCGCCAGCATGCTCACATGGCGCAATAGTCGCAAGGGGCAATTTGATGGGATAACAATCCAATGCGGCGGACCTCGCCTCGGAATTTACAGACAGCGCGGCAGGATTGTTACAACCGCTTTGCCATTTTGGCACACCTCCATGTTGGAAGTCATCGGCGTAATGCGATCTGCGGGCGTGGACCTCGACGATCCGGGGCGCAAGAGAGTAGCGCCAGATCTTTTGTCGGAGCTCGACAGGGAGGTGGGGAAAGACGTGAAAAGACAAGGATGGCCCAGGTGCTGGGAGTGCTAGCTCCGCTGCCGATTGCAGCATGTCGTTGACCATAGTCAACGCCCTTAGGGGAAGGGTGGCATGAGTCAACAAGATGGAAGAAAATTAAATATTAATGCAGGCGGAAGAGAAGCGGGGAAGTTAGCAATTTTGATTCACAGAATTTACCTAGTGATGTGGGAACGCCTAGGCGTACATGCCGTACGCCGGAAAAACTCCGGACCTACACCCGTATGCCGAGCAATCTGAATGAGCCCCGTTTCCGCGCCCAATGCATCATGATATGAAAAGGAGGTTCGCGTGTCGCTGTCCGGGATCCTAACATGTGCGGTAGATACCCGCAGGGATTGCGACTGGCAAGGTTTTGTTTCAAATCATCGTTATTCGCTCCATTGGACTGGGGAAGGCTGCTCCATGCAGAACTAATGGAAACTGGTTGATCCTTAACTGCGGGAAGACAACTGAACTAGCTAGGAACAGTCACTAGGCAACAGATGAGACTGTGATCTTACGTTGTGGCCTTCCCACCTCAAAATGAAAGGGGGTGAGTGACAAAGCGGGGAGATTAGTTACTGGATTACGCAACCGTTCCCCGACATAGCCTCCACCTGTATTAAAGTTCCTGAGAAGTGCTTCTGAATGCTAGACAGCCAGGCTATGCCATGATGGGAATGCAGCGGCTGAAGCGATGCATATCAAAATCAGGCAGACATCCTTGTCAACAGGCTCCCGGACACATGAGACAATAATCAAGCAGCGTGGGTAGGTAGGAATCGTATGTAGAGCCAGGCATAGCCACCCCCTCCCCATACAATGATTTTCACACTCAGATACAATACTTGAAAAAATAGGAGAGAGTGCGGTATATTCCCCGATAATAGAAGGCGAGGGCAAGATGAGCCACGCAAGCAGGAGGATCAGAAATCTCCAAGTTGTGTTATTGGTTAGTACGATACAACGATTTTGTATTGTGATGCTTCTCATATGTATTGTTATCAGGGGCTAAGGGGATTGAGAGCTCACGAGGCACATTCCGGCTAGCGGCTAGGACACGCTTTAACAGTGATGAATAGATTAAGTTCCTTTCGGCTATTCTCATTAACGTATTAATCTCTCTGTCCTCTCCTCTAGGAGGGCTTTCGATCTTATACTATCACAGATGACAGAGAGCAGTCTTATTACGGATGTGAAAGGATGGCCCTATTAGAGATCTAGAAGTCAAAGTGTAATTCATTCATACAACTGCCCACCGCCAATCGTCCCTTATGCATTGAACTATTCAAGTCGCTATTTGCGGAAGTTGTGCCATACTCCCCATCTGGCAGGACAGCAATAACGACGTGATGAGCTTTCATCCTCAATCCTCAAGCGTCGCACACACTGTCCGTGCACAACCTAGCTTTAAGAAAGGGTCGTGATTGAAAGATGGCAAGTTGTGCTGTATTTGGGGAGGGGGTGTACTACCATCTAGCACCTAAATTTGCGCTTGCTGCGCTGGAAATGCGAACTTAAGAGTTCGCAAATCCACCACCTCCTCTCTGCTGTTGCATGCTCTTTCTAGCTTGACTAGAGGAATAAAGAAGTTCCGTTTATCCCGGTTATTCTAGCTAGCTATGAGTAATCTCTCAGACACGTGATCTCTGCTCACTTCACATGAACGTTAATATTACAAGTCTAGGTTAGCAAGGCCAGCCAGTCAACAGCTCCGGTGTAGATGAGAGATATATAGTATCGGAAAAAAAAAAACCCAGGGAATTTCCTATTTTGTTGGTGACGACAAGAAAGTGCCGCAAATAGGGTGTACGCCGAAAAATGCGTGGCGGGAAAGCCAATACGTCGTCTCCCAAAGTGTCGTTTGGCAATGGGTCGTTTGGCAATGCGCCATTTCCAAAAGAGTGCAAGAACAACGAGCATCTAACCTGACCAATCACATGGCAGTGTTTCTCATTCATCTGGATGGATGGATCAGATGTGATTGGTCTGCCACAAGCAGCCGGATTAGTAGTCGGACCGATCATTCTTATGGGTCTCAAGTTTTCCACGGTACCTACCAAAGCACGCTATGCCTTATTTGTGCGCGCTGTAGAGTTCCTGGATTCCCTGTGCTTAATGTTTCGTTTGCATTTACCCTCTAGTCACATCACAATAAACCGATTACGGGCACTCACTATGCACCCTCTAAACTTCTTCAAATAGGTCATTAGGCTCTATAAAAACTGGACCCTATAGATTCAGGTAGTGCCTACGTGAATCTACGGTCGCTAGAGGAGTGACTCTAATAGCTGAGTCACGACGTGTTAATATAGGCAACGCGACGCTACTAACACTATTAAGTAATCCGTTGCCCCTTTATTCTTAATATTAAGCTTGTATTGATTCTAAACTAACTTTGCTTCTCTAGGTCTAACCTAGAATTCGATTTTTACCCTCTCAGACGATGCCCTGAGTGTTCCGACGGACACGGAAAAGTTGCTGCGTCATCTACGAGAGGCAGAGGAGAGAGCTGCACGAGAGAAGGGGCGAGCCAACTAGGTGAAGGAGCAGCCAATCGAGCAGAAACCGAAAGGGACCAAGCAGCGACCGAACAGGATGAGGAAAGGGAAAAGACCCGACCTACGACGCTGGATGAGTATCTTAAGGTCTACCACAACCTCGTTTACGCCCGCCTTACGGTCGAAACCGACCTATCCAAATTACCACAGGCAACATCCATGCCTATTATAAGCTTCTTCTAGAGCACCTCAAGCAATGGATTGGCTTCTTTGATGAGCAAAACGAGATATTACGCATGGCTTATTTACACCTTCTTTCCGATAGAGGAACGACTTTTTGATATGATTCTCACCTTAATGGTGGAAGCCATCCAACAAATGCAAGGCCTGAAACTCGGGTTGTTTTGGGGAGTCTTACTATAGTTGGCTAATACCACATTGGTAAAAGGCAAGGCCCGACATGGTAACTCAAGGCGAAGGATGACCCTGGGAAGGCTTTGCTGTGATGCGAGTACGCGACTCTGCGTACGCGGTAATGCTTCGTGCGATCAGCCGAATCGGAAAAGCGTTTGCGTACGCGAGAGATTGGCCATTCTCGTACGCGACTTTGCGCGGTCCTGTTTAGTGCACTCTGTACGCGGTGGGTCTCGTACGCAATTAAGCGTACGCAGGTCACGTGATTATTAAATGATTAAAGAAGAGCTATTATTAGCCTATGGTGCGGTCGCTTATTGTATTCCCTTCCCGCAATATTTCTATACCGAATCTGGTCGGATTTACGTCATTGTTGGCTCCCCGATAAGGCCGCGGATGGCAATGTTGTCCACAAGGGCCCAGGGTCTTCCCGCATCTTGCCCCATAGGTTTGCCCAGTTAGCATAGGTATCCCCGAGGGAGAGTCACAGACCTCACGTTTTTTAGGCACGATTGACGTGCGGAAACGTAGCACAGAGACACATCATCATCAGTCATTTGATTTAGATGTCCCCACAAACTCATGTTCACTTTTGGGACATACGTCCTAATCTCGCTGACGCATTCACGCATTATTTTTAGAGCGAGAAATGGGAGTTGACCGAACCCGGAGGTACCAGAGTGTCGCTCGTGTTCAGAGCAGGTTAAACAAGGGTACATGCAGTTGGATGCTCACAGAGGCACGCCGCGTTACATGATGCGCAATGTTGACATAGTGTGTACACTCTTCCAAGTTATCCCGCTGGCTCATCGGGCGGCTACTACATTTCCGATGTTCGGACGAGTTCGCGAAGCTACTAGTATTGTGCAGCCATGGAGTTTGTTGTATGGAAGAGGCAATTGGTCGAGGAGGTGGTGTAGCTTCAGTCATTGTTTCAATCGTGTTCAAAGGGTTAGCGGAAAAGGTGTCTATTATTTTCTCTAAAGAGTTATTAATATATAACTCTAGACATACTAGCCTTAATAGCTATAGCTTAAGGGGCTAGGCTATAGATAATAAAAAACACTACTCTAAGTTAAAAGTACCTAACTCCCTATATAAGTTCCCTATATATACTATAGAAGTGCTACTTATATAAATAGAGACCGCCCTATTTATAGCCTACCTTACTCTAGCTATCTTACTATACCTATCTACTATCTAGTTATATTTAGTAAACTTATCTCTCTTTACTTTTAGTAGAGAAATAGATAATATATAGAACTTATAAGGCCTAGTAGAAAGGCTTATTTAAATCTACTTTACCCCTTATATATAGATATCCTATAGTTTACTAGTATAGATAAAGAAAGGAGTATAGCTATAGAGTAAGCACTATTAAGGGATATATATTATAATAAGATAATAAGTATAATAGATTAAAACTAAAAAAATACCCCCTCCCCTTATTTAAGGGGAATAAGCTAGTAAAGCACTACCTATAATTATAGTATACCTTAGAGGAAGCCTTAATATTATACTATCTATTTACTAAGAAATAGTATAAAGGCTATAATCCTAAACTTACCTATAATTAATTAGCCTTTGTTTTAAGTATATAAGATAGGCTCCCTTAACTAGTTTATACTCTCTACTCTAGCCCCTAATTCTATATCCCTAGTTCCTAGTATAGCTATTTATTAGCTAGTATATAATCTTATACTAGTAAGGGTAATTAGTAAAGAGACTAAAGTATTTAAAGCTATCTTTTCTATATATACTACCTTAAATATCTTAATAATTTAAACCCTTCCCTTCTCTATACTTCTTCTCTTTTATTATTTATCTATATTTCCTTTTATTATATAGTCTTAGTTAGCTACTAATATACTATTTCTATTTACTCTACTATATAACCTTCTTAACTAACTTAAAAGGAACTATAAGCTATTAAGCATTAAGAGGACCTAGGAAGTCTATACTTAGATTATTATCTCCTAATTTAATAAATATAATAAGGTTATTCTATAATAAGGCTTAGAAGTTATTACTTTTTTATTATATCTCTTTCCTAAATAGTAATTAGATTATATTTTTAGCCTACTAATAATATAACTTAAAAAGATAATAGAGTAAGTATAATACCTTAGGTTATCTTAAATAAGTGAT